TAGCTAAATAAAGCAGTTTTAGTGTATAAATCATTCCCCTGCAATTTCACTGCTCAATTCACTGTCATTTAGGAGTTAAATCACTTTGTTTCTGTTTATGCAGCCCTAGCCACACCTCCTCTGGCTATGATTGACAGAGACTGCATGAAAAAAAACTGGTTTCACTTTCAAACAGATGTAATTTACCTTAAATAATTGTATCTCAATCTCTAAATTGAACTTTAATCACATACAGGAGGCTCTTGCAGGGTCTAGCAAGCTATTAACATAGCAGGGGGATAAGAAAATCTTAATTAAACAGAACTTGCAATAAAGAAAGCCTAAATAGGGCTCTCTTTACAGGAGGTGTTTATGGAAGGCTGTGCAAGTCACATGCAGGGAGGTGTGACTAGGGTTCATAAACAAAGGGATTTAACTCCTAAATGGCAGAGGATTGAGCAGTGAGGCTGCAGGGGCATGTTCTATACACAAAAACTGCTTCATTAAGCTAAAGTTGTTCAGGTGACTGTAGTGTCCCTTTAACGTGATAACATTTTTTCACCAGTTTATGTCAAACTTTGAGGTTATTTTTTTATTTTTTGCGTTTTTTACATATAGATACAATCGTGCTGGTCATTTTTCAAATCCATAAAATAGACCTGACCATTCGGTTTTTACAATTAAAATTTTGATTGATGAATTTGATGGGTCTATGTGTCATTTTGGGGCATTGAAGGCCGAATGAGATCAAATAATTTTTACAAATAAATGCATACCATTTGTGAAAGACTCCACGGAATATGTAATATGGTATAATCTGAGTGATATTATACAACCATTTTAGCACCAATCTCTTTCAAATTTTATCGTATTATTTTATTTTTCCGTTTTTGTGATATTTATCCCTGCTCACACCATTTTCTAGATATAGGCATTTAAGGAGCTACATGCCTTGCTGACTTCCAGCACGGCATGTAGCTCATCAAATAAATCTCGGGCCACTAAAGATGGCCCCAGCTGTTAGAAGGAAAGCCCCAGGTATCCATTAATACTTAGGACTCCCTAGTGTGAGTAGGGAATTAACATTGCTCACACCTCATTGTAACAATGCAGATTTAAATCTCCATTTAAATGCCTATTTGGAGCGCTCTCTTTGATCTCTGCAAACAGAGCATCAGTCAGTCTGGTGCCAGTAATTCTGGCCTCAGGTGACCGAGCAGAGCCCCAGGAATCAAATGATACCTGGGGTTCCCAGTTACCAGCAGGGAAAATGTCCCCTTCTAGAAAAATACTGCATGACAGAATTATTCCATCATGCATCCTTAAAAGAAGCACCAACATGACTGAAAACTTCCCCCCTTTAGGGGTTAATATATATTGTCAAAACATCATAAATAAGACTTGTCTCCTGCATCTCCATTAATAATTTCATTCACTCTTTTCTTGTACGGTTTCCTTTGGAATTGAGATGGAGTCATCTTCATTGCTGGCGTTGTCCCCACCAAAGCAGCAGCGGAAGATTTTGTACACAAAGCATCCTTTTTTATTCACAGATTTTTCATTTGATTCATTCTAACAAAGTAAACACAAAATATTAGTAGTATTTATACACTTTTTTGTTTCCCATTACCGTCTCTATGTTCTAAGGGTTCATGAAACACTACCATAACAACTTCAGCTGATTGTTTCGCAACAGTTTAACAAGATAATGTTTTTTGTAGTTTGCAAAAAAAAAAAATCTAATAATAATTTCTAGCATTTTATTAACATATCCCATATATCCCATATCCCATCAACACTATGGTTAGAAATACTGTATATATAGATTATTATTATTATTATCAACATTTATATAGCGCCAACACATTCCGTAGCGCGTTACAATATTATGAGAGGGGGGATTTAACTATAAATAGGACAATTACAAGAAAACTTACAGGAACAATAGGTTGAAGAGGACCCTGCTCAAACAAGCGTACATTCTATAGGAGGTGGGGTATAAAACACATTAGGACATTAAAATGCCTTCTATTGCTCTAATATACATGTGTATATTTGTTAAATAAGACATATATATGTTTTCTCTTTACACCTATTTTAGCTAACCACAGTGTGTTGGTAGAGAGTCATATCATCCAACAAGGTAGTAGACGTTTTAATCTACCATACAAACCAGGTGCTACACAGTGCTATCAGCTTCTATTCATTTCAACAGGATATGGATATAATTTGGGTAGCTACAATGCATCTGGTGGTAAATAATATATATGTGATCATGGAATCTGCCTGTTAAATAAATAATATTTTCCCTATTCCTGTCTAAATATTAAATATATTAAGGAATTATGTCTGGTCCCTCTGCTTCACTTCCCTCCCATTGCAGAAATATCTTTCATTGTTTTAAAGAGCAGTTACAAATGGCTTATAAATATATAGAGAGAATGAGAAGAAGAGCAGTGCACCTTGAAGAAGCCCAATAAATAAGTGAGATTCTTGTAGATACTGCATGTCAGCTAAGTTACTCCTTCAGGAATCTGAGAAGATCTTGTTGGAAGTAAATGAACGGCCAAGAGCTACCAAGTCACCAACTGTACATCAGTGTAGCTATTTTAAATATATAAATTTGCTTATTCCTCTTCCCCTATACATCACATAAAGGACCAGTTTTCTGCAGGATCAGGTAACACCACAAGTTTGATCTCCCGTGGTGCTCTCAGCCAATGTATGACACTAAGCACATATAAATAGTGTCCCAGACTGGGCAATGACCGTGTCGGAGGTGGAGTTACTCCTTCAACAGCAAAGCAAATAAACTCTGCAATATTATTATTATTATCACCATTTATATAGCGCCAACAGATTCCGTAGCGCTTTACAATATTATGAGATGGGGGATGTAACTATAAATAGGACAATGACAAGAAAACTTGCAGGAACAATAGGTTGAAGAGGACCCTGCTCAATCGAGCTTACATTCTATAGGATACAGACTACGGGCAGAATAACCACTTCACAACACTGAAATGAATGTACATATATATATATGAAATATTATTTATTCTGTTACCTCTTCTTTAGAGGAACCTTCTATCCACGATGATGATTCAGATGATGTTGGCAGCGGTATTTCTGTGCTACTGGAAAATGTTATTTCTGAGCTATTCTGTGAAAGTAAAGGAAAATATTCAATTCAATTAATTCAGATCTCATGACAAAATATCGAGAGCCAGGGCTGGATTTCTCTTTAAGCAGCGCAAGCACAGGGGAGACCTATTCTGTTTAAAGGCCCCTCCCTAACTCCTGGCAGGTGTTTGCTGACTGGAACACTGGCTGCAAGACTCTGATATCACTCTACTTAGTCTGTATCCAGCTTTAGCTATATCGTCGCATGGTCCCGCCCCCTCAGTTTGAACATGGTGATTGTGGATGGCTCTGCCCCTCTTGGACTAATCACAGTGATCTGTGCATGGCCCCGCCCTCTCAGACTAATCACAGTGATCTGTGCATGGCCCCGCCCTCTCAGACTAATCACAGTGATCTGTGCATGGCCCCGCCCTCTCAGACTGAACACAGTGATCTGTGCATGGTCCCATCCCCTCAGGTAGAACACAGTGATCTGTGCATGGCCCCGCCCTCTCAGACTGAACACAGTGATCTGTGACTGGCCCCACCCTCTCAGACTAATCACAGTGATCTGTGCATGGCCCCGCCCTGTCAGATTGAAAACAGTGATCTGTGCATTGCCCCGCCCTGTCAGATTGAACACAGTGATCTGTGCATGGCCCCGCCCTCTCAGACTAATCACAGTGATCTGTGACTGGCCCCACCCTCTCAGACTAATCACAGTGATCTGTGCATGGCCCCGCCCTGTCAGATTGAAAACAGTGATCTGTGCATGGCCTTGTCCTGTCAGACTAATCACAGTGATCTGTGCATGGTCCCGTCCCCTCAGGTAGAACACAGTGATCTGTGCATGGCCCGGTCCTCTCAGACTAATCACAGTGATCTGTGCATGGCCCCGCCCTGTCAGATTGAAAACAGTGATCTGTGCATGGCCCTGCCCTCTTGGACTAATCACAGTGATCTGTGCATGGCCCCGCCCTCTCAGACTAATCACAGTGATCTGTGCATGGCCCCGCCCTCTCAGACTGAACACAGTGATCTGTGCATGGCCTCGTCCTCTCAGACTGAACACAGTGATCTGTGCATGGCCCCGCCCTCTCAGACTGAACACAGTGATCTGTGCATGGCCCCGCCCTCTCAGACTAATCACAGTGATCTGTGCATGGCCCCACCCTCTCAGACTAATCACAGTGATCTGTGCATGGTCCCGTCCCCTCAGGTAGAACACAGTGATCTGTGCATGGCCCCGCCCTCTCAGACTAATCACAGTGATTTGTGCATGGCCCCGCCCCCTCAGGCAGAACACAGTGATCTGTGAATGGCCCCACCCTCTCAGACTAATCACAGTGATCTGTGCATGGCCCCACCCTCTCAGACTAATCACAGTGATCTGTGCATGGTCCCGTCCCCTCAGGTAGAACACAGTGATCTGTGCATGGCCCCGCCCTCTCAGACTAATCACAGTGATTTGTGCATGGCCCCGCCCCCTCAGGCAGAACACAGTGATCTGTGAATGGCCCCACCCTCTCAGACTAATCACAGTGATCTGTGCATGGCCTTGCCCCCTCAGGTAGAACACAGTGATTTCTACATGCACAGACATACAATGCTACACGTGTGTGTGTATACATATATATAGAGGTGGGAGCCTGAAGTTGTGGGAGGGACTAGTTTTGGCCATTTAAAGTATTCACCTCCTCTAGCCAGTAAACGTATCTTGATTATCGCAGCACGTATCCCACCCTCCACTCCCAATAGTCAGAACACTCTTCTGAACTAATTCCTTAGGTGGCCTCTCTTATTTTACAGGCCTACCGGTACGTCGGTTTCGGCACACCTCAACTGATTTACGTATTTATTTCCTATGTTACGTTTATGATGTTATGTTTATTTCTTACAGTTTATGGCCTGTTGTGTCCGGACCACAAATATAAATATATATGTATATATATATATATATTTATAAATATATATATATATATATATATATATATTTGTGTTTGGGGCACAAAGGCCGTATAGAGTGATAGAGAGAAAAATAGGTATAGCATAATACAGAATGGAAAAAGTCGGTTGTGGTTTGCCGGAACCGACAATGCTGGTAGGCCTGTAAAATAAAGAGGGCCCCCCTTAATGTGTAAAGAAAGGTAGATTGAGTGAATAGAGGGAGTGAAGGGTGTGGTGATGCAAATCGCTAGACCAGGAACGGTACAGGGGAAGGTGAGGAGTCCCTTTAAAAAGGTAAATAAGCCCCTCCCACAATTCCAGGCAAAGCCTTAATACTTGTGTTCAGGTCACAAAGGCCGAATAGAGTGACAAAGAGAAAAATAGGTATAGCGTAATACAGAATTCGGTTGTGGTGTGCCGGAACCAACGATGCTGGTAGGCCTGTAAAATAAAGAGGGCAAAGAGGTATGGTAAAATATGGTAAAATATTTAATACAATCAACAATCAACATACAGTTGCAAGAAAAAGTTTTTATTGAACACACCGTGTGAACATTCACACTGCCCGTGGAAAAAGTATGTGAACCCTTGGATTTAATAACTGGTTGAACCTCCTTTGACAGCAATAACTTCAACCAAACGTTTCCTGTAGTTGCAGATCAGACGTGCACAACGGTCAGGAGTAATTCTTGGCCATTCCTCTTTGCAGAACTGTTTCAGTTCAGAAATATTCTTGGGATGTCTGGTGTGAATCGCTTTCTTGAGGTCATGCTACAGCATCTCAATTGGGTTGAGGTCAGGACTTTGACTGGGCCACTTCAGAAGGCGTATTTTCTTCTGTTGCAACACCCATCTTCTGTTGAGCTTCAGCTGGTAGACAGATGGCCTTAACTTCTCCTGCAAAATGTCTTGATAAACTTGGGAATTCTTTTTTCCTTCGATGATAGCAATCCATCCAGGCCCTGACGCAGCAAAGCAGCCCCAAACCATGATGCCCCCACCACCATACTTCACAGTTGGGATGAGGTTTTGATGTTGGTGTGCTGTGCCTTTTTTTCCACCACACATAGTGTTGTGTGTTTCTTCCAAACAACTCAACTTTGCTTTCATCTGTCCACAGAATATTTTGCCAGTACTGCTGTGGAACATCCTGGTGCTCTTGCGCAAACTGTAAACGTGCAGCAATGTTTTGTTTGGACAGCAGTGGCTTCCTCTGTGGTATCCTCCCATGAAATCCATTCTTGTTTAGTGTTTTACGTATTATAGATTTCGCTGACAGGGATGTTAGCATTTGCCAGTGACTTTTGTAAGTCTTTAGCTGACACTCTAGGATTCTTCTTCACCTCATTGAGCAGGCCACTCCTAGGGAGAGTAGCAGCAGTGCTGAACTTTCTCCATTATAGACAATTTGTCTTGATGAACAGCAAGGCTTTTAGAGATACTTTTATAAGCCTTTCCAGCTTTATGCAAGTCAACAATTCTTAATCGTAGGTCTTCTGAGAACTCTTTTGTGTCACATCAGGCAATGCTTCTTGTGAAAAGCAAACCCAGAACTGGTGTGTGTTTTTTATAGGGCAGGGCAGCTGTAACCAACACCTCCAATCTCATCTCATTGATTGGACTCCAGTTGGCTGACATTTCACTCCAATTAGCTCTTGGAGATGTCATTAGTCTAGGGGTTCACATACTTTTTCCACCTGCACTGTGAATGTTTACATGGTGTGTTCAATAAAAACATGGCAACATTTCATTCTTTGTGTGTTATTAGTTTAAGCAGACTGTGATTGTCTATTGTTGTGACTTAGATGATGATCAGATCACATTTTATGACCAATTTGTGCAGAAATCCATATCATTCCAAAGGGTTCACATACTTTTTCTTGCAACTTTACATTCTTATACAAGTTATTTTGATAAGACTTGACGGATTTCCAATACTGGTTGTGGAATGTACCGTGAATACAAAAGTCCTTGCACACTTGCTTAGGTAAATTCCATTTTCTGGTGCCCAGCCTAGGCTTTATCATATAAAAATAGAAAAAAATAGGCTGCACTCGCTGACTTTGTGTTTCTTTCTTTCATCATATTAATAATAAACATCCACTATACTGTGTGGGAACAAAACGAGGAACTTCAACATAAAAAGTCAGTGCGTGCATCCTATTTTTATATATATATATATATATATATATATATATATATAAAACTATTTTTGTTAAATTTCACTAGTCAAATTTTTCTTTTTTTAAGTTAGTAAGGGGGGAGGATGAATGCCCTATTTGGCCATATTTCTTTTTCTCCGTTCAAGAACTATTTTGCTACCATTGCTACCATTGCTAGCGATGGCATACTTACAGGTGAAGAACTAGAGTGTAGTTCACAAAGCCACTACCCTGGTTCGCAGAAGCAGGACAGACGTATAATCAGAGGCGTAAGTAGAAACCATGAAAATTGCCCTGGGCCCCCCACCAAACCCCTCAATGTGTCTCATTCATACAAACACACTGACATACATGCAGATACACACCATATAACACATACAGATACATACAAGGACACACATGCTGATACACAGACACACATACACACACGCAAATGCAGAAACACAAACTAACATACAGATACACAGACACATATATACACACAGACACACATGCAGATACACAGAATTAAACACTTTGAGATACACAGATTGACACTCCTATAGATACAAACACTGACACAAATACAGATACACAGACACACATGCGGATACACAGACACACATACAGACAGAAACACAAATACTTAAAGGGACTCTCCACGCAGCTGTTTTTACTCACCTGGTTCCAGCGCCAGGAGCTTCGTGAAGCCACGCCCCCTATTTCGTACGCACACAGTGCCTTCTCTCTCCTGCACATGTCAGACGTATTTTAATACGTCTGACGTGTACATGGCCTTTTTAGGGCAATACATGATAGGAAGTCCCTCTGGTGACCGTCTTAAAATACAGTGTTTACATTACATTGCCCGCAGGGAGCTATAGATCTCACCTGAACAACTACATTAAGCTGTAGTTGTTCAGGTGACTATAGTGTCCCTTTAAGGACAAACATCCAAATACACAGAATGACACTCATACAGATACAAACAGTGACACAAATACAGATACACAGGGCAAACACTGACATACAGATACACAGACATACAGATACACATGCAGACAAATAGATACAATGCAGACAGATACACATACAGACACACATACACACATATATAGAGACACACATACATAGAGAGACAAACACATACAGTCACACACATACATACAGAGACACACACACTCACACACACACACACACACACAGACACACACATAAATACAGAGACACACACACATACACACATACAGAGTCACACACATACATTAAGTCAAACATACGCAAACACACACACATGCAAAATGGTTCAGTCACCCTCCTGTTTTCTACCTTTTAGGTGCAGGAGGGTGACTTCCCTGGGGTCCAGTGGCATAGGCTGATGTAAATACATAGCATCGGGTGGCCCTAACAGCAAGGGCCACCTGATAGGCTCTTTAACTTGCAAACCTGGTGGTTCTACGGCGTGGACCGGGGCCGCAACACATGGTTGGCTGGGCACCACGGTCGCAGGGGTCCACAGGGCGGACGGGTAGTTCTGCCTCTGCGTATAATGATCTCAGGAGGGTGTTGCATTCTAGATCCGTGTTTGACCTTATTGTAAAATGTAGAATTACAAGTAGGAAATGAAACAGCTTTGCTAGTTAGTGTAAAGCGCTGTGGAATTATAGGCGTGCACACGGGGTGTGCTGGGTGTGCCTGGGCACACCCTAATCCCCCCCGCACGCCTTTGGAGTTGACTCTCCACTGGACCACCAGGGAAAGCAGCAGGAACAAAAATCCCCTCTACCTACATAAGGTAAGAAGGGAGGGGGGATATTAAGTAATGTACCCCCACCTCCACCCCCCACAATCACCCACACACATACAGCACACACACCCACAGCACCTACACACATACAGCACACACAGACATACACAGCACCTACACACATACAGCACCCACAGACATACTGCACCCAGAGACATACAGCACCCACAGACATACACAGCACCTACACACATACAGCACCCACAGACATACACAGCACCTACACACATACAGCACCCACACACATACAGCACCCACACACATCCACAGCACCAACACACATACAGCACCCACAGACATACACAGCACCAACACACATACAGCACCCAGAGACATACACAGCACCTACACACATACAGCACCTACACACATAAAGCACCCACAGACATACACAGCACCCACACACATACAGCACCCACACACATACAGCACCCACAGACACACATACACAGCACCCACACACATACAGCACCCACAGACACACATACAGCACCCACACACATACAGCACCCACAGACATACAGAGCACCACACACACATACAGCACCCACACACACAGCACCCTCACAAACACACACAGCACCCTTACACACAGCACACAAACAGCACCCTCACACACACACCGCACACTAACAGTACCCTCACAAACACAAACAGGACCCTAACAAACACACACACAGCACACTACCAGTACCCTCACACACAAAAAGCACCCTCACATACAGTACATTAACAGCACCCTCACAAGTGTGCACACACAAACACCCTCACCCACATAGCACACTACCAGCACCCTCACACACACATCACACTAACAGCACCCTCACACAGCACACACACACACACACACACAGCAGTGCATGTGTGTGTGTGTATATATATGTGTATATATATATATAAATACATACACATATATACGCAGCGTGTGCTTGCGCTTTAGGGTGCACACCCTAATGCAATAGGCTGCGCACGCCTATGTGTAGAATATGGCGCTATATAGATACTGATAAGAATAATAGTGCATGTTTAATGTGTTCAGTTACTCTTTGTCTCAGATGGCCTTAGCTAGATGCTAGGCTGTCTGATGAGAATAGGAACCCCACCTAGCAAGCCATTGTAAGATGTATT